CCCCAAAACCCCAAAACCCCAAAACCCCATAAGCCGATGTCATTTAGCATTATAGTTGATTATAGAATTAATTATTGCCATAATAATGAAAAATTTTAGGACATTACTAAAAACGAATTCTAACCTCAGAATTTTTAGGAGAGCTCAATTCGTTTTGCCTTCGATTAATTACTTTAATTAATATAATAGCAAGCCAGTGAAGCTATTTTCAACTACTAACAGTTTTAAATCCTCTATATTTGTTGATGTGGATGATAACACTATTGATATTGAGGAAGGGGAAAAGAAATATAAGTAATTATTGATTATTTTAAATGAAATATAGAGGTTCATTAGTCATTGTTCCAACTCCAATTGGTAATCTGGGTGACTTAAGTTTAAGATAATATGAAGCTTTAACTCAATCTGATATTATAGCTTGTGAGGACACTAGAAAGACTGGCAAGATGATTGAACTTATCAAGTAAAAAAGACTAAAAGATCAATTTAAGACATAGTTCGGGTCATCAATTGAAGACTTTTTCGAAGATAAGGAGATAGATGAAGCGAGATAGGAGTATGAGAAGAACAAAGATAAATAAATGAAAGAAGATGTAGTAGAACAGTAAAATGATGTCTCAAATTTACATGAGGAAGAGGGAGATGATTAACTTCTATTCAGATTACTTAAAGCGAATGAAGAAATAGACTAGATTTAGAGTATGAAGGAAGGTTAAGTTGGAGATATCGATGTTGCAAAGTAAGAAAATAAAGGGGAATTAAAAGTTAAAGTGCAGGAAATATTGAAGAGACTGGAAAAAGAGATTGATCAAAACAAGTTTCACGATCTTCAAACTGCTGAATAGATAAATGAGTAGTCCTTAAAGGTTTTAACTCCTTAGGATAGAATTTTCATTGATCAGATTGATTAAGAGTATTACTCTAGAGTCAAATCAAGCGAGGAATACTACAGAAGGAAAAAATTAATTTTAGCAAATCTAGATAGGTTGTAGAGAAAGGTTGAATCAACTGCAAAAAATTTTGATGATTATGAGAGACTGAGATTTATCATGCTAGAAAAAGCAAAACAAAAGAGATCAGTCCTTAAGAACTTCATTAAGTTTGAACAGTACAATCAAAAGGAGAGAGTATTCGGGAAAGAAGCAGAGTCTGAGGCAGCCAACTAAAACACTTAGGACTAATCTGGTTAGAATTAATAAAACGAAGCTGAATAAGATGATTTTGATCTTCTTTATGGTATCGATAATTCTTACACAAAGGAAGTGAGAGAAAAAATAATTGAATCTAAGAGGAAAAAGGGCAGAGGACTTCTTCTGAGTTTTTATGAATTTAATTAGGAAAAAAGAATACCAAGATTAATTAGAGCTATGAAGCTTGGGCTTAGAGTAGCTTTAGTTTCTGATGCTGGTACTCCAACTATTTCTGATCCAGGCTATAAGTTTCTCAGGGAATGCAAAAAGTAAGGTATTTCTATTGAACCTTTACCTGGCCCATGTGCTGCTACAACTGCTCTCAGTGCCTGCGGATTTCCAACTGAAAGATTTTACTTCTATGGATATCTCCCAAAAACAGATTCAGATAGAGAATAAGCCCTATTAGATATTAAAAGATAGGCGAAAACTACTGCTATTTATGAATCACCTAATCGTTTAATGAAGACTCTAGCCCAGGTAATGGAGGTCCTCGGGGAAAATCATGAGATTTACATAGGAATGGAATTAACTAAAATGCACGAGAAGCATTATAGAGATACTGTGAAAAGAGTTTTCGATTAGCTTGAAAGAGAAACAGAGGGAACTAGGATAAAAGGAGAAATTACGTTAGTTTTATCGCCCTATCAAGATGATGCATATGATGAAACCTAGAGAGAATTAAAAAGTGGAGGGTTTGATCCCAGAAAAGATGCATAGATTAAAATTGATTTACTGAAAGTAGCTACTAAATTAAATGAATCTGTCGAGATGTCAGATCATGATTTTAGAGTGATGCTTAAATCCATTTTTGACCAAGTTCCCTCCTATCATATCAATCAAATTGTCAAAGTTATAAAGAAAGGTGACAAAGAATAGAGATTTGAAAGGTTATCTAGAATGATAAGAGATTAGTGATAATCTATTTCACTCTGAAAATCTAACTATCTAATTAGAGTTAATTTATTAATCTATTTTTCTTTCATAATTATCCCTTTAGCATATCTTACGGGGTTTTGGGGTTTTGGGG